CTTATGAGCAATTAGCATCGATTACCTGGCACCATTTATATTATTACTTTTATCTCATGAAGTGTCGGATTAATGGCTATTTACATAATTTCGTCTTTTTTACGAAAGTTCCACATATTTGATAATGTATTGAGTGGCCGTGTTGGCCGTATTGGTATTGAGAGAAACGAGCAGTGAGTCTTATAGATTTGAATTACAACTTTTTATTTATCTATTCAATAAATGTTACAGTTTCGGATTTTTTAAATATGTATATGTAGATGTCAACTTTATCGCGTATAATTATTCCTAGAGACGTAGAATTTTCGAATATTCTATAACTAACGGATGCGTAGTCCTTACAATAGCCAGTTAAAAAAAAAAAAAAAACGATTTTTAAATTTTATAACAAAGTAAATCGTTTTCAAATAATACTGGCGATTGATTATGAAACAACTAATCATCGAAAGATTCATTTCTTTGTCTGAACAAATATTTATAGTTTAATTCATTTGTAAAGAAAATAAAAATATTATTATTTCAAAATTCTTAAGAGGAATAATCGTACGAAAATCAAATTATTGAATTTTATGCGATAATTTATTGACATTTTTAGTAAGTAAACGAAGCGCTGAAACATTTCAAGAACTTTCTTATTTTTCATTCTAGGAAATCATTTCGTGTCCCTACTCTAATATTATCTATTTAAATTGATTTATTCAATTTTGAAGATCGAAAATTTTTAAAGGCGCCTATTACTGACAAGTATAGCCTTTCCTAATTTTCTATAAATAATCAACTTAAACGTCATCGCGTCATATATATATATATATATATATATATATATATATAGTCAAACGTTGCTTGTATCACTACGTATTTTTCGATCATTACATTTTAACAAACAAATCATAGTCCAGAAAAATTTTAAAAACATCTATTATCAAGTATACTATTAGTTAAATATCTATTCATTTGACGAGTTTTGTTATTTATAAAAAGTTTGTGCTTTTACCTAATTATAATATTATAGCTAATAATAATATTTGTTATTATACTAATTTCATCAGAGTCTAATAAAATAATATTTTATTCGCTTATGAGGACATTATTATAAGATTTTTTTCAATTTGGTCATGCTTAATTCCAATTTGACTGTAAAAATAATTTATTGCATCAGGTTTTCAGAAGCGACGCAATTTCGCATACTAAAAAGGTCTTTTTTAAGATTATTCAGATATTTTCACATATTTTCAATAGAACGCGCTAAAGTTCTGTTCGAAAGGCTTCAGTTAAAACTTGAGGCATATATTTTTAAGGAAAAATTTATTTGACATCCGCGCGTTAAGACTTATGCAATGCTATGGATTTATTGTCGTCTTGGTAGTTTTTGTAAAGATATTGGAACATTTACGACAACTCTGTACGTCTTTTTTTGTAGAGACTCTCGCGTATGTATTTTTTATAGAAATTAATATTTAAAAATATGTGAGTCCATGATTGAGAATTTGTTATGCAACTTGGTGATAGGCATTGAATTGTTAAGATCATTTTATTATTATTGAATGTAGTACTTTAATCAAATTTATCATATTGCACACATATTTTAATAATTTTATTTTATTAACTATATATATTTATATATATATATATATATATATATATATATATAATGAAATAGAAATTTGAAATTTCGATAGCATATTTATCTAAATGTCTATATCACATCACAAATGTACGTGTAAATTTAACGATAATACAATAATATATTTCATACTATTGATAAAACCAATATCTTTTTTTGTGAGAAATTTTTAAATAAATAATATTCATAGTTAAAATGAATCTTGCATTTTGATGTAAAAATCATAATACCATTTGTAATGACATATACTGAGCTATCCATTAAGAAAGATATTTAAATTTAAAAAATTTTTTAAGTTTTTGCGATTTTTAGATGAGCAAACAAGTTGAACTAATTGCCAAATTAATTCTCTGATAATGATTATGTGTGTTAGATAATTTTTAAAAAAATATTATTTTTTTAAAACTAACATTATGATAATAATATGAAAGACTAACAAATATTTAACAAGAAATAATAAACAGAATTGTAACTTTACTATTGTCAATTTTACTTTATTTAAAAATATCTATTAGGGGCATATTAGTGCAGTATTTTTGAAATAAATACTTTCTATAAAGTACTTATCGTGTTTCCTTTGGTAAACAATTTAGATTATAAAATTAAATTTATTTATAAGAAGATAAGTTAGGCAAATATTAACTATTTGAGAATACTTTCAATTTCTTATTTTATTTAAATTTATGTTTTCTGTAATTTTATTTCCTGTTTTGTCATTTTTGCTGCAATATTCTTCCTTTACGTTGCTTTTATTTATATTTTATTTATATCAAAAGTAGAATTTTACATAAAATAGGAATGAACTAAAGCAATATCTATACATACATAACTTACAGATTTTTTTAAAAATTATCTTCTATATAGAACAATGGCAAAGAATATGTCAAGTATGTTTCATCAAATTTTAATGTTGAATTTTTAAAACTCTATTCTACATACTTTCGTTATAGACTGAATGATTTTAACGGACAATTTTTTCTTTAAATTTATTGAAGTTAAAAATAAAAAAATTACATAAATCTTTTACTATTTTACAGAGTATGGAAAATTTTAATTATATATTAAAAATTGAATTGTCATCATTATGATTGTATCGATTGTTTATGTAGCTATTAATATTATTACATTCATATAATTTTCTATCTTTTAATATATTCTCAGCAAATTGTCATCTCGTTATTCGAAAGAAAAAGAAATTTATATACATACACGATCGGACGTATACACGCAAGAAGCTCGCAAACCTCCCACTCATCCACCCACCTACATGTATAGACAGACAGTCAGACTGACAGATAAACATAGACATACATTATTTAAATATTAATATTAAATTATCAACCAAATGGTTATACGCTTTCAGATTGTTAAAAGTTTTAAACGAAACGATATTTTATATGCTATTAAAAATCATGATCATCATAAATTTTCATCCTTTTAAAACACTCACCTTTTTAATGTTAATATTAGCGACAATAGATAGCAAAAATAGATTTCTTGCTAATGAATGTGAGAATAGCAATAAAGAGACAAAATTAATTTATATGTCGTTACAGCATACGCATATAAGCTTCGATAATCAAGAAATTACTTGTTCGTGCTGTGAAATTAGTGATGCACATTAGAATACTTTGCCTCGCTCGGATGGGCAATTACGATTTGAACTTGTGCCAGTTATAACTATTTTTTAAAATAATATATCCGTGCTTGTTAAAATGGCGTTACAGTTGTTTTGGCAATATATGGATATGGGGTTAAATAGGGATTTGTCGTCCGAAATGAATGACGAGAGTGAATTTCTCATTCGTTTAATGATTAAAACAGCAGTTGTACGTATACATAAATAGGCTAAATACACACGCTTATATGTACGATATTAATGGCGCACGTATATATCGTTGTATTGAAAATACAATGAGTTTCCCAATTCTCGATGCATTATATACATTACGACAACTTTCACTATTTTCTTTATATTTTTCTAGTTAAATCAATTTCGATGATAATTCGTTACTTGCTATATAGATACGAGAAGTACATCCGAGCGAAAAGAAAGGAGGCAACTACGTAAATTTTTATGCGCATGTGTACGCACACGCCTGCATACACATGCGTGAGAGGTTGCGCGTGCGTGTACGCGTGTTTGCGCTTGCGCGATCGTGCCCGTTCGCGCGATTGTTTCTGTGTATATGCGTGCGTGCGAATATCGTGTTGTACGTGAAAAGTCATGTTGCGCTGTGCGATACGCGTACTCTCGCGCGTTCGCCCTGGACTGCGAAATACGGAAAAATGTTGAAAAAAGCGAGACGAAATAAAAATAAAGCAGAAACGAATTTGAAAAGATGGACGAGGAAGTGTAAAGTCATGGGCTCGCCTCTCTTTCGTCGACTCATAGACGTAATTTCTGACTCTCTGGAATAAGAGCCTCGAATCTCCCAAAGGATACTTGCTATCTATACATTAATATATATATATATATATATATATATATATATATATATTACGAAAAGTATGAGGGTGCGCGAGCTCGCGAACGCACGCACGCACGCACGCACGCACGCACGCACGCACGCACGCAAATGTTCGCCCAAAATCGGAATTCATTAGAGAGCCGTTGCAGGCCGATTCCAAAAGAGTTATAACCTTGTTAGCCGGTGCAAGGCTCGTGTCGCGCGATTCCATTCCGCTCAAGAAGAATGCCTTAACGTACTGTCGCTTAACTAATGTCCTACGTGATACCTTAACGGCTACCTTAAAAAACACATGATTTATCGGATTGTCATTTTTGTTAATTTTTATTTTAAGACGTTAGTCAAGCGTGAGCCTTTAAATATAATATATTTATATATATACCGCTAGTCTTGATGCAGGTTACACATATCGCCGACTCAACCGTAAGGTTAACGGACGCGTCGACCGCGGGGAAGTGCGCCTACTCTCGGCGACTTCCTCGGGCGCCCGCCGGCTTATTCTCGCCAGCGGCCTATTGCAACCCGATCAAAAGTAGCCACGAAGATAATGAAGACTGTTAGGAAATGCCTTAGAAGAAATGTGATCTGAGTAAATATGAGATATGCGGTTAAAGACGAGGATATGTTAATATGCGAAGAAGCGACGCGGAGGCTCGGGTCACGTGGCACGAGGCACGCGCTCCTCGCGACCATGCCTCACCGAAAATGCACAGAAGCTCGCGCCTCGTGGATTCCCACGATCAATCCATAATCCGCCTGCCCGCTCATCCCTCGCCAAGCTCATCCGCAATACCTGGATTAACGGGAGGAATGCAACGGACGTGATCCTAAGCATTTTTATGGAAGAGTGCGCTCGATGTCGCCAATCGGCCGTGAAAAAGCGGTTGTTTGTTGCACGTCATTTCCACGACCTGTATGAAATGCGTCATGAAACGCACCAGCGTGCGCCCTGCCTCCTACATACATACAATTAAACTCGTACATTTTGCCGTTGTGGATAGAGTCACTTTTCTATATGATTCTTTTTTTTTTTTTGTTTATTGTTTTATTTTTTTATTTTTGTTGTTATATTAATGTCACTCCGCCCCTCCATCTTATTCATCCTCTCATCCTTCCAGCCAACGATTTTCCTGCAACTTCCCCTCGTTACGCTCGCCCCGATTGAAGGGCGGAGATCAGTGCGCTCGCAACGAATTCCGGAGCCCTTTCTCTCTTTCTCTTCTCTTTATCTGTAGGGGGCTAAGGTTATCGGGCACTCAGGGCATCATCTTTCGCGGCGTCAGCCACTTCTTCATGTAATAGCAGAAGATCGTCGATACGTAGATCAGGATGAGGAGTGCGCACGTCACGCCAAGGGCGAGAACCGACGTCTTCGTCGGGCAGGGCTCAACGATTGTCACGGTCTTATCTGGAAGGTTAAAGTGCGTTTCCTGGTTAAATTCGATTCACGACGGGAGACCATTTATAAGAATCGAATGAAGTATGCAGGAAGTAAACATTTTACCGGGAATCGACATAATTGCAAGCTTTACTTTAAACTATAATTTGCGCGATAAGTCTTTATTCATTGATATTTTCTCTGTCTGTCTGTCTCTCTCTCTCTCTCTCTCTCTCTCTCTCTCTCTCTCTCTCTCTCTCTCTCTCTCCCACTCTCAAAGTTTGTTTTATAAAGGTCATTCGAATTGTTTTATTAGGAAATCGTAAGGCCTATTAGCATTAAATACCGTGTGCTGTCTCGAGATAAGATGAAAAACTCACCGAGGTATTTACAATGACCTTTATAAGTATGATGAACATTTTAAACGATTAGATAACTGCAGGAGAAAACTTATTAATTTAAACTTTACACGTCCTCTTATTCGTACAAATTATTAATCTTTATTAATATTAATTGCTTTAAACACGAATTCCAATTGCGCGACACGGCCATTAAAATATCATTTCCATTCGAATAAAGAAGTTTGAGAGGTCCGGTGAAAAAATATAGCACGAGAATATTTCAATCAAAGTAGATTTATAAGATGTATTTAAATAGTGTCAAGGTCGCAAAGCGTTTGGGGAACATTGGATTTTGAAATTAGCAGAGTATTTAAAAGCAACCAAATGCTTTCCCCGCTAATACAAACCGGCTTCATTAAAGTCTATACTGGCGTCGCTCTTCAAGAACTGCGATTGCTTTTCATCACCAAAGTCGAGAACAAGGATTTCTTGCGATAAGGTCATGTCTTCCGCTTTCTCCTCCGTCGTGTTCTCGAGACTTCTCCTACGCCTTCTGCCCCATGATTCCGAAGAGTCACGTCCGTACTCGCAAACAGCCTACAAATATTCATATCCTTATTTCGGGGAATTTAACATTATTATTTATGGTATGAAGTTGGCAATACCGATAGAAAAAATCAATGAGTGCCCGTTATAGAGTTTCTAAAATACGCAGTATTATAAAAATTGGTCTAGTGTGACGGCTCGATCGTGTTGCAAAAAAATCATTGAGGAAATAAAATAAAACAAACTAACATTACGTGTGCACAATGCTACAATTCTCTTTGCATCGCGATCGACCAATGCAGAAATAAATAAAAGCAATTTTTCAATTAGTCATAAATACTTTTACTTGCAGGCCTGTTGAGATTAAATAATAATTACCGGCTCACAAGGTCCAAGACAGTATTTAACGTTGCATTGGAAGATGACACCGTATGACTCGGTAAACCTAAAGGCCTCGTACGACGATTGCAAAGCATTGCCGTCGGGTGTAAAGCTCGGGAAGATCGAAGAATCCACAGGACATCTGTAAGAACGATATTTTTTATTCTCCTATCGTCATCTTAGATTTCTGGGGGCTATAAAATGGATAAATTATTAAATCCGAATGAAAATTTATTATCGACTTTAATTATGATTTTAAAATTTATATCGCAGTCGAGGTGCCAGCGGAACGGTTATAAGATTAAAATCATACAATTTTAACGAAATGCTTGAATTAAAAAGTATATACATATATATATATATATATATATATATATATATACAAATATATATATGTGCGCGTGTGTGTGTATATCATAGTAGACGATATGCTATTGTCATATAAAGAAGGTAAAATTACTGACCCTTCGTCGTCAATTATCTGGAAGGTGCTTTTGGCGTCCTTTGCCATTGCTACGCAGCTGCGAGCGAAGATGCCGTATGGAGCTGAAAAAGAAAGTGTTAATTGTTAGTAATTGCTTTCATTTACAGTAATTTATAATGCCTGGACGTAAATCTTAACTTTTTTAATTCGCGTACAATATTAATGAGACATCACCAAATCATTTCAATGGTTATTTTCTTTCATATAAAAATTACTTTTTTCTGCCATTTAATCATTCATTGCCGTGTTAACTATTTAAATTATTGAATTATTATTAAGTATGTATTATTGCTGATTCTATAGAGAAAATATTTTACGTTCAATGAGATTGAGCATGCTTTATTGGAATAAAGATGAAAGCGATGTTTAAAAATTAAATATCGTTGCCCCTTAAATCACATTACAATTAATTTCACAGTGAAGTGTAATTTATATGCTTGAATATTTTAATTAAGTAGAGCCAACTTATTATGGTCTTATGGGCTTTTATAATATGGATCTCATTCTTACAACGTTTTACTTTACTCATAATTTTGCTTATTATGACATTGTTAGAGAAGAAAATACAGGAACTATGGAAATGTGTAAATCGTAGAAAAACGGTTCGTTAAGAATACTATGAATATTTGAAAAAGTGAGCTCTATGTCTTCGCTTTAATACGGTTACAATGCAATGTTAATACATACAATATTTATCACGTAAACAAAATTTAACTTTGTCATATTATGAGAATAACGGTCGACTATATAGATAATATTTTCATGAAAATTAGACTTTCAATAATTATTATATCATTCATCATTTATTGGATTACAAATACGCATTATTACGAGAAAAGATTAAATATGAAAATTTTGTTTTCAAAGTCTTTTGGTTAAATTTGTTGTGAGTATACATAAAAATAACCATATCAACTGATAAGCCGAATATATCACAATAAATAACTAACGATTGGCGTGTATTTGTTCAAATAAATTAACGCAACAAACAAACAGAAATATATTAATTAATAATAAAAATACGCACGAATTTTTCATGAAAAAGATAAAAAAAAGTCATTCTGTTCGCGAGACAGCGAAGCTCATTTCCTGAAATTGATCTAACTTAAATGGTTAAAATCCAGCGCATCCTTACTGTCTTCGGGTATCTCGATTCTGAAGGTCAACTTATCGCCAATCCTGACGGTCTCGACCTCCTGGGCGCGACTGTCGAGGATGCGGATCTTGGGTGGCGGTGCTTCCGGTGCGCTCGTGATGCTGATGGTGTCGGGATCGCGGATCGGCATCATTCCGAACGTAATATTCTTCGAGGACATGTCGTAAGTGCACTTGACCTTGTAGATCTTATCGGCCTTGGTCATCACCACCGAGTGATGCTGAAGCACCACTGTATTCGAGTATGTGCCAGTCTGAAAGCCATTATAAGCCGGATATAAGAATCTATTGCTAATGCGTTTGAGATACGCGCTGAGATTTAAATCGGAGCGCGTGGAATAGTGCTTTGCCGGCTTTTGAAAATTCGATTACTCCCGCACGACCGTAACACGTAAGCGTTGACATAATAATACGGCTTTACTTTAACGCGATGCTTTATCTGGTTTTCTTTTTTTTTTTTTTTTTTTTTTTATTTACAGAATTAGCGTAAGATAGGCCAGAACAATAGCGTAGAGTTATTGATCGATTAGAATTGTGTGCTGGTGATTATTAGCGTAAACGGCGTGCGTAGCATATAACAGCGGATCATAAGAAAATGCTATGCTGCTTGTATTAATGGCTGCGGACTGTTGTAAAGGAATTTCTATTTACTTACCACACTCTGAGTATTACAGTCTTGTCCGCTCATGGTGAGATCGAGTCGGAAGAACTTGCTGTTAGTCACATCAATGTTACATGTTTCCGATCGACCCAAAGCGTAAATTCTACCATTGAATGGCTTGTTCGTTTGTACTTGAACCGCAATCCTCGTGTCTTTGCAATCCACAATAACTGGAAAAAATTTTTATTTTCAATTTCATAAGCCGCTGCCCTCATAAATTATTTATACATTTAGATCTGCTTATTTATGAGGTGAAACTTGTTCTTACCGTCATAGCAAGTACCAGTTTTATCGCAATTGATATCGAATCTCGAGTCGTTTGGACTGACTGTGACATTTAAATCCGGTTGCGGATCAGTGATCTTGCCTTCTGGAATTGTATTTAGAAAATTTGTTAAGCGACCTCGTTAATGTTGCATCGAATTGAATTGGCTTTTCGTTAATTGAAATTTGACCTCAATGGATTCGTATGTAACACCCGTTATGTTATTAAATTCTATTTATGAAGAAGGAGATTTAGCCTCTTCTTTAATTGTTCACTGATTAATTAAACAATCTCACAAAATAAAAATGAAAAATTAATTTATCTTATTGTAAGGTCGATATTTTTCCACAATGAGCGATTGTACGTACGCTAATGGACTTTTCAATATTCTATGCAAATATCAACGTTCACTTACGCTACGTCGGCTCGAGTCACAAGCTCTATACATCTCATAGCAAAATATATAGTAAGGAAAATTGTACTAATAATGCCAATGAGTGGCAATTTTCTATCGCGTCACAATAACAATTCATTCGGAAAATTATCGATAGAACATAAAAGTTGGAGCACTCCGACGAATATAATTATCACTCTCTGTTCCAATTTACCGAGCTACTTCTTACAAAGGCTATCTACATTTTCGCGGCGCCGGTAGTACCGTAAGAGATGAAAAACAGGTAAGCCGAGTGGGCACTCGTACGCGCAATGTTCGCACGAAAAATAAAGAAAAATAGAGAAGGAGAAAAACAAGAAAAACAAAAAGTGAAAAACTTGAGCGTAAGACGAGGCGGAGGAGATAGGCTGCTCTCGTGGCGTTTCTTCGCCGTTGCGCAAACGCAAAGCGTGCGATCTGTTTATTTATACTTTGATAGAAACAACTTGATGTTAATACTGCATTGAGAATATTTTGTTCTCGCGCGCTCGGTTATGCGGACCGTAGTTGCCGTAGCTTATTATAGAATCGGCTATAAACTCTGAATAATATGCTACTGCTGATTCGACAATGTTCTATCGGAGAAGCAGATTCTCCTTACCAACATAAATTTCATTTCTGGTTATTTTTACTGTTTTATAAGATCGTGCGAAAAACGCGGCGTTTTATAATAAACTAGAGTTTATTTTTAAAATTATTATAGCCCATGTGTGAGCGCGAACGTTTTATGCACCTGCATTTTTCGTTTTAACAAACATATGAAATAAATGCTGCTTTTACAACTGTACATTTACTAAAGTCTAATTAAAATTCAAGGAGGGATATTGCCCGACATAACTCCTCGAACCGGTAATCATTGCCATCATTCGCGAATCAAACGATATTACAATTTATTGAAATTTTCGTTGAATTGTTGAAATTGACTGTAAAGCTTGTAAAATTGATAAAAATGACGGCCGTATTTATGGGAGGAGGGAGGTCGATGCTGGTGTTAGCATTTGGTGGTGGTGGTGGTGGTGGTGGTGGTGGTGGTGGCGGTAGAGATAGTGGTGGTGCTTCAAAGCGTTTGAAGTCGAATATTCGTATTTCTGACAATAATTTCCCGACTAAATGTATCAATCGTCTATTCGTAATAATGCGAGGAAGCGAGGCTCGATTAAAGCCTGTTTTTCAGCACGTGATAATTAAAAACCTGTGCTATTTAATTAGCACATCCTCGTGGTATTTCTTTCATAAGGGTGAATAGAATTAAGAACGAGGACAATTTGCTGATGTTGATTTATAGAGAGATATGCGATAGCTTAGCTTTGCGTTTGCACTTAAGACATTTGAAAGGACGCGGCTTATACGGTAGGCTGCAATCTATTGGCCCTTGTAAAATACAGTTAAACGAAGCTTTGATAATAGGCCAATAAAGTGCAAATAGCTGAGAAGAGTAAAGCCGCGATCGTTTATCCGTTCGCGTTGTAATAAAGTCTGCGATAAGAAGATGAAAGACTGACTCTCGCAGAAGTTCTCGTAGTAGCTGCCGACGCGCTCGCCGTTGTCGATGAGCGGTCTCTCGGCGTTGAGATAGGTCGAGGGCCCGTCGGGCAGCGTCCAGTGGTCCAGGTGGAAGAGATGGCAATTGTAGGCCTGTCCGATGGGCGTACCACGGTATAGGTACGACCTGCAGAGGAACTCGTTCTCGATTTCGCAGGCGATGCGGCAGGCTGGATCGTTCTGCACTTGAAGCTCCTTGTCTGCGTAGTAGTGCAGGCCGGCGTATTGGGCGACCTTGTCATCGGCGACGCCGATACGTGGCACCTGGAAGTGCCGCTGGGCCTTGCAGGCCTCCTTGCCTAAGCACGATCTCGGAGTTAGAGTCACGTGGAGATTTCGCGGATTTATGGAGCGGCATAGTATACCGAGTATCCCACGGGAATAGTGACAGGGGTGGCGGAGAGGAGAAGGGAGATTAAAACATGACGAATTGCCGATGTTTTTAGAATGTCTTCTTATCGATAATTTACGATGCGGGTGGGCTATCGATTACTCGGATTATCTAAGCATTAAGGAGCATTTGCGCGCGGCGAAAATGAACATTCCTAAGAATCGACCGCTTATCGTTCGCACTTTAACCAATTTAATAATTCGCCTGTATTTATTGACATATAACTGCTCCAGTCCGTCTACGCAGCTTTTTATCTTATTTATTGTATTTGATATAGAGCTGCTAAGCAATGTATGTGTGAAATTTGTTTGATTCTGGTGATGCGTAGCTTCACTTAATTACGTAGCTTAGGCAGTGACACGAAGTTGCCAATGTAACTTCGTAAGTATCATTGCTAATGCTTACAATTCCCTATGGGAGTCATGAATTTTTATATTATTCTATTACACTATGGCTTAAAGATTTTGCTATATCTCGGTCTGAAGAAACATTGGCTTTGAAATTTCATCTGCGTTGGGATTCACCATGTTGCTCGGTATCGATAGAGTCAAAGATAAAATTGCGTCCGAGTCATGGCACGCGGGAAACCGTCGGCTAAATAAATAAGTGAAGTAAAAGTTCGTTGACACGCGCGCTTCCGAGGCTCTTCATTATCCAAGAATCGATCACCCGTACGATTTTGTTGGAAAGAAAAGGGAAGAAAGACAGAAGTAGAAGAAGAAAAAAAAAACGAAAAAAAGACGAGCAGGCTCATCGCGATATCGACTGTCGTGATTATCAGACAATTCCGCAGATCTAGGGAGTCATGAGTCGTATGTTTGCTCCGAATGTATATGAGATCATCGGTCGTCACTCCGTCAGTTTTTTCGCACAGGGTGTGCGCTCCTCCTCACCTTTCAGACAGAGATTCTCGAAGTAATCGACGCCTTGCGCGTCGACAAACTGCACGAACTGCCCGGTCGTTCTCCTGTCGGAGTCGCTCAGGTGGCACTGGAGGGTCACGTAGTTGTACTCGACCGAACGGCAGGTGAAGCGGTGCTCGTTGAGACAGGCGGCCAGGCAGGCCTCCTTCGTAGACGTGTAGATGAGGGCGGCGTCAAGGCCCCGGATCATCTTGTTCGGCACCCGCTCGAACGCCCATGGCCGCAAGCACACGTTCTCTGCAAACAAATTTCGTTTCTATTTTTCTCGCTGTTGTTTTCCTTGTTACCCTTGTCCCGCGACCACCTCTCGTCATCGCGATGGCCCGACCCTGGCTGGGGGACCCCCAGTCGAGACGAAGCGTCCCGTGGACATGGCCTAGGTTAGAGCCGATTGGAATTACACCTGCTCCCACCGAGTCCACTTAAGTAATCTCATCCCTGATTATCCGCGGCAACAGTTAATTCCTGGCCGGAGTAATTGCTCCCTATTTACCTATCGCAAGATTAGCATAAACTTCGTAGCGCATTGTCCGCACCGGTGCTACGAGCGCCTCTTATACGGCGATAAGTAAAAAGATTATATATTTAGCACGGCTTGCCTCTCGAGGGCAGTCTTTGCCGAGCGAGGGCAGCCGCTTAGGTGGTGTCCTGCAAGCAGCCGTCGGTCCGTCGAATTTTGCGCGGCTCTTGGCACACGAACAAGTTATTTTGAACGATCTCTTTGTTAGAAATGACAATAGCCGTGTAGTGGTAATGTCGCACGACTCGTTAAATCATTTGCGAGTAGGCGTAAAAGCGCGCGATCCTTCTGGCTCACGGACTCTCGATCGTTATGGATCGAGAGATAGATAGACATACAGACAGACAGACAGACAGACAGAGAGAGAGAGAGAGAGAGAGAGAGCGATGTTTAAAATCATCGATATCGTTGGCTACCTGTCGGAAATGAAGCAAAAACTAGGAGACATAATTATATGACAAAAGCAAAATCAAAATAAATGAAAAAACAATGCAAACAAGGAATAATGCAGAATGCAGAGTGAAAGTGAGAGACGAGATTTGGGCGAGAAGGAGATTGGGGAGTAAAGGGAAGAGAAATGCCATGTCGCTCGGGAGGATGAAGTTGTCCGTTCGATCGGCGAGCTCGAGGCGGCCGCGGGTGAATTCGATCGAAGCGCAGCGTCGGTCCTCCTGCCCCTCTTAGGCGACTGTCGGCGCCGATGAGAGTTCGCCGTTAATTATAACTCGATTTCTCGGAACGCGGGGCAGTAGACACGACGGCGCGTCGCTAACGCTGGGTCGCCGTTAACGATCGAACGAAGACTCGGCTTCTGAGAAGGGAGCGAACCCGCGCCTGCTTGACTGCAACCGCGCGTGCGACCGCGATCGAGCGCTTGCATCATTCAGGAAGAGGCGACGCCAGTGTCGCGACGTCGCGCCCTTCCGGCCTCTTTTATCGAGACAATCAGGCGGGAGGAGGGCTATCTATCTATCTATCTATCTATCTATCTATCTATCTATCTATCTATCTATCTATCTATCTATCTATCTATCTATCTATCTATCTATCTATCTATCTATCTATCTATCTATCTATCTATCTATCTATCTATCTATCTATCTATCTATCTATCTATCTATCTATCTATCTATCTATCTATCTATCTATCTATCTATCTATCTATCTATCTATCTATCTATCTATCCATCTGTCTATCTATCTATCTATCTATCTCTCTTCTTTTGTTACGCGGTGCGAGAACAAGGGGCCACTTTAATGTGGGTCTTCAACGTGGATTACGCAGTTGACGTCTCTTTGCAAGCACGTATACATGCGATTAGAAAATACTATATTTAACCGTCGAGCCGTATGTTTAATAGTAGACATCTATAGTGGATATATAATAATTACATACGCGATTTCATTTGTATCGTATTATAGTGTAGTTGCTTCTGTGAAGCAAATCACTCTTATTATTTTAAGTCGAGACTTACGTCCGATGTGGCATTTAAGAATAAATGTTTTGCTTTTAGCGTCGCTTAATCCGTGCGTACGTTATATTATATCGACGAAATCGCGAGAATCGAAGGAGAAGGAAATATTCAGCACGTTAATTCAATAACGAATGACATATTTATTCGCTTGCCCTCGGCGCTGGTAAGGCCGAGAGCGGAGAGTCGAGTTTACACGAGCATCGCATACGAATATTGGACGGATAATCGGCGCGTGGTGGGGCATGGGGGGGGGGGGATTGGTGGCGTAAAACTTGGCTGCAATCGTTGAGTGTCAGCAGGCAAACGTTAACGCCAACGATGCAGGTATATGCTATCGATCGAGGCCAATGACGTTCAATATGAAAAATCGTAGCATTTGCGTTAAACGCAGGATCGTGAGAAGTTGAACGCCAAGGGTCAATATAGTATCGACCGGGGCAAAAGCTTATAATCATCAAAGCCGTGCATTTTTCATCGATGGCTAATGGAAAATGGAGGATTTTTCCACGTAACTAGGGTACGCGACTGCTCGGCGAATGAGTGTCACGAAATCGCGTCACACGAGGCACAGCTGACACGTCACCCACATACTCGCCGCGAGATTCGCGGAATATAACGCTATTCTTTATTCGCCCCAATTCTTAATAATCGTGTAAAACGACACGCGTGGCGACGCTCATCTAATTTTGAAGTCGGTGCAGCCGGCTTTCGGCTTTGGCCGAGAGCTCGTGGCGACGAGTGCTGGCCAGCTCCTTCCCTTTCGCTGCCCCCTCGGCGCACGAACCCCCGACAGCCGCACTCCAATTAGAGTCGGGGACTGCCGTGGGGGGCCCCGGGTCGCATTATTTTTACGGCTGCGCGCACAAGGTGCATCTGGGCAGGTAGAGCGCCTGTAAATAATTGGCTCGATGCGCACCTTGCGATATTGTCCGGCGCTAGGACGGATGATCGGAAATCCGCAAGGAGATCTACCGGCTTCTCGCTGGGTTCCGAGAGCTGGCTGCTGCCTGGCTTTTATTCCTCTCCTTTCGCAGAGCCGAGCCAAGCCATTGAGAAAACAGTTAGGTCCTCGGGATTACGAATGACGACGACGTGTGCGTCTCTCTGTTTGCCTGCGCCTTTCTGTGCGTGTTTAGATAGAGTGAGAGAAAGAGAGAAAGAGAGAAAGAGAGAAAGAGAGAAAGAGAGAGAGAGAGAGAGAGAGAGAGAGAACTAGGGAGCTAGAGAGAGTAGCGCGCGCGGTGAGGTAGGGCTAGGAACGTGGTAGAGGTAGGTCGGTAGGGAAGGGAATGGGGTACGGGGTAGGGTGGTGGTGGTGTTGAAGGAATCTTTCGTTCTCTCCGTGATCGAGTCGGAAGGAGCCGTAGCAGGTAAAAACTGGGCACGCAATAATCCTTTTATGGGGGGCCGAAGAGTTGTATCAGATAATGTGCACCTGTATATATAGTCGAAAATATTTTCAAAATTATCGGGGAGATTTATTTTTCTCGGGAAACACTATCTTCCAACCGCTGTTTTTCTCTCATGCTCAATTTAATAGGCTGCCGATTTTTCATCCTGCTTTATCGTTACGTTTATTTGCCGATCTCCTAACGTTTGCGTAGTCTTCATGCCAGTGTCACTTTTTCCGTTCTCGCTATTTATTTCTCTCTTTCTCGTCAATTCTCTCACTCTCTCACTCTCTCTCACTCTCTCTCACTCTCTCTCTCTCTCACTCTCTCTCTCTCTCTCTTTCTCTCTTACTTTGCTGGCTATTGAAGCAAGCGGGCAAATCCGGTCTAGGGCCGCTCACAGCATGCTTCTTAATCAACGAAGTAGGCTCCGCGAATATCAAATTGTCGGTCAGTCCTCGTCGTAGCAATAATCGGCCGTTTAGCCGCGCGCGCGCATTCCCGCAGCAAGGAAGCAGAACTTGGGGTGTTGGTGGGTGCAGCCCAGCCATCGGCGGGAAGCGTATCCTCCCAGCGGAAACCGACGCCCCACGGGGGCCCGGAGGGTCTCCGGGCTATCAGCCGTGCAGGAAAGCGAAAAGTCCCGGAAAGGCGACGAGTTCGGGACTACCTGGCCACAAAAATCGGGCCGCAGGTAGTGGGTGGGGCCCGGACACTCGCTTTCGCACCAGCAGGCTTGTTAAAGCAATATTAGAGACCCCAGGGTCCCTCTCGACACTTCGGCGGTCGGGACGCCGCGTACCTGCGAGCCCTCGTACTCGGAAGATGCGCATGTGTTCGGGCGGTGTTCGCGCCAGCGGTACCAGCTAGGGTCCATTGTTCGGGACCGTGGAAGCGTACGAAAGGGGCACCAGCAATATGGCTCCCTCTCACGGTTGCCCACCTCGGTGTGTTCTGTACCGTCAATGCCGCCAGGTAAGCTTCTCCAAACGCCACGCTGGGACTGGTCGGGACGCGTCCCGGGGTCCTCGGGAGAACGGCCGCGGTAAGGGCTGGGGAGGGGGACCGACGGGACGCTCGTCGCCCATTCGTGCCTCCCTTTGTTGGGGTCGTAAATTTTTTTGGCACTTGCTTTGTGGCAGGCGAACGCCGCGGAGCGATTGATCTCTCGTGAAATGCGGATTCGCGATGCTTGGGCGAAGTCGACCTCGTCCAGTCCCTCTTTGACCAATGACTTCTTCATCCGTTGCGCGCACCCGCTACTTCTTCGGATCCGCTCCGTTCGGAGCTTTTGAACTGCGGCTCTGCGCTTTTTGCGCTCTCGGGTGGAGCAGATGCGATCGAACGATCGATTTGCCTTCTAGACATAGCTTTCAGCTACGGATTCACGACCATTTATTAAGTTTCACGAGGAGAATGAAAGGACATGGCGATTTTACGAATATGCCAGAGGTGTGCGCGCAGATGGAACGGAAATTCCTAAAAGTAGACGAATTTTATGCATTCCGGTCCCTATTATTTAAGCTTAAATACATTTTTCCATCTCGTTGGATTATTATCGATCAATTTCATAATATTCTAAAAGTTTTTATGCTTGTGATTGTATTCACACCAACATTCTGTTTAAAATTTTTAAGTACGCTCAGGAGGATCATGGATTAGGAAGAGACGAGAAACAATAATTAATTTCAGGTTATTTTATCTGAAATTTCGGTATGCTGGTTGGTTGTAATTAAAAAAGGATGATAGGATTACACGCAATTTGGTATTTGTTGGTCGCATAATAATCCGAATGATTTTCTGATATTTGTAAAATTATCATCGATGGTAATAAGATTAACTAAGGAGTAAAATTCGTTTAACGAATAGAAAGAGTGTATTTTACATCTTACAGTTACTTATATGACGATAGGGGCTCTAGATAACGAGATAGATAGATAGGCAGAGAGAGAGAGAGAGAGAGAGAGAGAGAGAGAATTCAACAAAACGGTGTAATGGATCTTTAAGGGTTATGATGATAAGAAAAATTAAATACCGTATATTACTGTAAAGTATGTCGGTGGAGGTAGGATTTTCTTTACAGTGAATGGAATTTATGAAATTAGCACGGCCTAGCGAGCTTCTTCATAACTAGTAATGTCGAAGCATAAGGACGAGAAAATGTTGCGAGCAAAGGTTAATCAATATCGAGGATACGCGTGCTATTTTTTTTTTCTTTTTTTGTTTATTTTTAAGAATGGAGTATGAACAACAGAGTAGTCGCAATAATCGATGCATGGCATTGTAGAAAGTGCCGGGCATGTTGGCTCGACGTCACGGCCAGAGCGACTGGCACCCTCACCTGATCTTATCTGCAGCTTGGTCATGTAGTACATGTTGACGGCCCTTTGGGGCTGCGAGGACGGATTAGTTGCGGCGGTCTCGTTCTGCAACTGGCACAAGGTGTCCTGCATCGGCGCCAGGGGGTTGACGACGAAGGAGAACGCCGCGGCCTGGCACTCCGGGTCCTCCCGGCACCAACCCTGGCACTCGTACAACGACAGGTTGCGCACACTATAGTAGGTCGTGCCCCGGTAGTCGTGGTCCGTCAGCTTCTCGAAGGCCGTTCGCGCTGAAAGGAAGAGCGAGCCCGGAGGGTGAGTGGTAGTACTGCCACCTCATCGCCGTGGCGCCGTTTTCCGCTGACCTCACGAGGCCCGCGCGAGGTCTTATCTAATCGGGCCTCTCCGCCCCGAGCGGATAATTCATGTGCGAAGCCACGTCGGCCACGGTATTTCCACTCCGGCTTTATTAACGCTCGGCACGAAGATCCCATAGCTGTACGCATGCAGTTCATAAATTTTCCCCTTCTTAACGCGGAGATGCTTCGTGCCAACGCATATTTTCTTCCTCCTAACATCTAACTTTGCCTATATTTATCGTTTCCTTTGTGCAATTATATTTATCTAGAATAAATGATACGATGCTGAAAGTATGCGGTCGTATCTGGCTGGCACCCATGACGATGCTTTTCAAAGTCTCTATAAATATACAATTTTCCTTCCGCGTTTTCACATTATTTCCCCGCTACTTAGTCAAAGCTTTAATCTTGCATTCTTTGTTCAATCGTTATTCGCGCTTTCCATGCTCGTTACTCGTTATTTATCATAGTCCCATGAGTGTTATAACTGGTACCCGTATCAGGTTCATTGCATCAAGTCATTTTATATTAAAATTGGTGTAAAAGTGTTGGCAAAAGTACTGCCCATTAGTTGGCGTGTCATTACCGGCAAATAACGATGAGCGACGAATAATGTAGAGAATTATTTGAAAATCTGACATAGAATTACCGCGATATATTACAGTTATCGTTATCCTGTAGCTTAATTATCGCCCCAGGACATTATTGATTATTAAAGTGTCAATTAGCTTTTGCATCGGTGTTGGTAATCTTCCCGTTCCATCGAAATATCCATTACTGCCGACACTTTTACAAAATCGCTAGAGCGCCTATTGCATACGCTTTATTACGAATTGCCAAATGAAAATGCACTTTTTTGCATTTAACAGCTCGAGGATGAGGCGATTTCGCGATTTAAAAAACTTTACCTCCTATGTAAAATGGCATTGTTGGGCTTTGTTTATCTGTCGCATCGAAAAGGGAATATGAAAAATAAATAAACAGTCATTGTAATGCTCGCATAATTTGATCGTTTAAGAAAGCTTTTTCCACCATACAAGCGTTTGACATTAAGTTGAAATAGCATTGATAAATTTTTCGATTCCATCGCGAATGTCTTGTAAGTTTACATTGCAAATCTATGCCGCTATCTAGATCGAGACAATTGAAATTATTCCTACTCATTTACATACAATACCCTGGCTTATTAGCATTGATAATCGATAAACATTATTAAGTAATACCCATGCGGGATCAAGATTTGGCTTTTAGAGCGACATTTCCCCCTCAACTATCATAATAAACTCTTTTATTTATTATTCATTTCTTTTTATTTCATTTTATTTGTTGTTGTTGTTGATTTTTTTTTTTTTTTTTTTTTTTTTTTTTCATAAAAATGCACCACAGGGCTGATCAAGTGCTTATAAAAGCCGCATTCAATGGTATTACGAAGCTCGAGAGGCATTCGATTACATTATTCTCCTACAGAAGCGTCCCGTGCTCGAGAGAAAACGGCCCGGTAAGCGAATTGCCGGGAACGAGCGGTCAAAGGATGCGATAACTCACCTGGTCCAGCCAAAGCTCCCGTGAAGAGGGCCAGAATCAAGCAGCCCGAGGCCACGGATCTGATCGCTCTCGTGTCCATCTGCAATGGAAAAAAGAAAAGCATCGTCGAATTAGAGAATGACTTTTCATCGGCACTCGTTGGGAGTCGGACGACGCAACCGCGACTCGACATATTGGCCAGATCCCGGGGGAGGGTCGACGTTTACGAGCGTCCGCGAGCGAAGGTCAGCCCCGCCCGGCTGTTACCCTCCTCCTCGTCCACCTGCCACGCCCGTGATTTTATTGTCGCTATTCGGGACTTGCGTCGGGGGCGGATGGATCGGACGGGGGAACGTGGGGTGAGCGGGGATGGACAGGTCGCGCAAGAAAACGACGATGGGGCCGATCGTGGGCCGATAATCGCGAGTGGCAGCGATTCGTCACGAGCCTTCGCAAAACCCACCTCGTGCTCGCTCGGTCCACTCCGTTTCTTACCGAAGCACGCGCGCGCGCGCGCCGTCGCTTCCTGGTAGCGCCTCCGTTTCTTTGGCGCACAGCATCCGGTGTTTTTCAAATACTCGAGCTTAGCAATTAGCTCAAGCTTAGCAAATTGCACCTGGACGATGCCGGGATAATCGAGTGGGGAATGGGCGGGAGGAGGTGTGGCGGTGCTTATGCTGGTGGTGGTGGTAGGAGCAGCAGTAGTAAAAAATCGTGTCGTCTCGGCTCTTCATTCGGCCGTCCGATAGGCGCGCATTCCGCGTTCCCAAGATGATGGCTCACCTCGAGCAGTCCCACGAAACCATTAGGCACTCGGTCCCTTTTTCTCCATAGGGCGCGCACTTCAATCCGGGAGTCGGGATCCGCGCCCCAATCGGCGAAAAATTAATAACGTCCCTAACGAGCTTCGTACTCTTAATCCCGCGGCTCCTCTCTGCTGCCGGTGAAATAAATGTACACTCGTGCGTGCGCAGGGGCCTCGGCGATCGTCGAGCACGATTTTAACGTCTCCCGAGCGGGTAAGTTATAGGCTATGCGCCAAGGTGCAAGATACTCCGTCCGCTATATTAATCCGTGGAATGAGATTTATGTAATTTGAGAAATGGATGGACTAGACAAGCATTCTCGAGCTTCGCTACCTGCGTTTGACGCATTTCCAAGTTCCGGATTCAGCTCTACGTTACAACACATCGTTATCTCGAAATGTTTGCTATCGGGACGATCATGAGTGAGATAGAGAGTCAGCGTGGGAAGGGGGGTGGTGGTGGCGGGGGTGGGGGGGGTGGGGGGGGGGGGGGGGGGGGGTGGAGATTCTGGTGAGAAGGTCGTGCGCGACTACTTTAGCAACTGCGTTAAAGGTTGGTTTAGAATTTATGCGCGATGCCGCTCGCTGAACGGCTTATTCAATTCACCGTACAAGATATTCTAAAGGTTTATGTGGCAAAAATGGCAAAATTTACTCGATTTACTCAAATTCATCGTTCGATATTCTGAGCGATACGTCACACAGCCACGACCGCGTCAACCTTGCGACTCCCCTTCCGAGAATAACTCAGGCTTTCAGCGAATCGTCGAGGAGGATAACGCGAGACGCGCAAACTCTTTCAGCATCGATGCATAATGTTAGCCGGCGTAACAAATGTAAAGAGAAAACTGGCGATCCCTCGATGCCGCCTTTTCTATACTTTCTGTGAATGAACGTTTCGAGAAGGCGTTGCTGCCGCATCGTTGCCCCTACCTAGGTATAAACAGATTTTCCACTTGAATTTCCATAATGGCCAGCGGAGCGCGTGGGAAGAAGCGTCGGGAAGAAGGTGAGCCGAGCACAATGCGAATACAAAGCGAATGCAACACTCCACGTAGCGTTGTATCTTAAATTAGCCGACGCGGGAGCCGCTTTCGTGGGGTCGCGGGAAATATCGTGCGCGAGGCCGGTTATCTCTAAAATATTTAAAGCACCCCCTTGCGGTTCGCTCATCCGATCCCCCTCGTATGGCTTTTCGCATAATGTAGGGCGTTTTCTACGCGGCCCGATAAACGAATGAGCCCCCCCTCGTGCACGAGTCAGCGCACACCTATCGACCTACCCACCTAGCTATCTATCTATAAGCATACACATGTACCACACTTACATACGGAGGCAGAGAGACAGAGACAGAGAGAGAGAGAGAGAGAGAGAGAGAGAGAGAAAGAGAAAGAGAAAGAGAGAGAGAGAGAGAGAGACGCGCATAAATATATATATAAACGTGCGCATGTACGAATGCGAGCGCGTTAGCATCAACTTCTCGTTAGGGATTTTTGCACCGAGGCTGTCGGGAGAGAAAACCAGTTTGGTCTGTTTATCTCGCGCCGTTTATCGTAACGTCGCTCTCCTTTGCTCCTTCTTCGTATACACTCTCGCCTCTCTCTTCCCTCCCGGCCAATCTAACCCCACCCCTTTCCGCGCCAACGCCGCGCTTTATTTATGCACGCGCATAGGCGAGGAAGCAGTGGTCCGAGGTTAGGTACTACGGTGTTGCTTTGCTCGATTTTATGGGGTGGTTGCCGGCCGGTAGTGGTACCGCGCGACGTTTGCCTCTCCCTTGCGATAGGATCCAGCGCGAGGAAGGCACGAGTACCAAAGACTCGTCTCGAATCCCTGGAGCGCTCACGAGGATCCGCCGATCATCACCGGGGGCCGCGTCGTCACGAGTTCGCGAAACCGCTCGGACCATTATCTCCACCGAGGCCATGCCCGGGCAATCTCATCTCGCCTCCTGGGGGATGGGCTCTCTTATCGGGACGGACCGTCCGGGTTCGCCAGCCTCAGCATCCAAGTCAGCGCTTGGATTCCCTTAATGGATGAGTCCTGCGCTCATTGTTCGGATCGCGCGATTTATCACGGCTCGGACTCTGGATCCTCGGTTGACGGTGAAAAGCCAAGGAGGACTGGGGGTTGGCAGCGGTGGGACGAGGGGTTAGGAGAGAGCCAGGAAAGCGAGAGCGAGGCCGTTTGTTACGGTAGGCAAAATCGGCAGGATTGTCGGCAAAGCGCATCAATTACACTATTATCAAATGGAGAAAATACGTACGGTAAATGAGGCGAGCAATTTTTCAGGAGTACGAGTGCGCGGACACTCTTTGACGATAATTTAATGACGTATAAGTAGTAAATTCTAGCAATGTGTGCCAAGTCAAGCGTACTTATAACGGTGATTTAATGAATATGCAGTTCTCGTTGAGCCCAGGTGTCGCTAATTCTACCGTGGGCAGCGAGAGAAAATTCTACAGTAAACAAGCTCATGCGCACATAGTGAAACGGCAAGAAGCTCATATTTAACCAAAAATTTTTTCTGCACTATTAAGCAGTTCCTTCCTGAGATTCATAACTTTGCTTTCATTTCTTTTGTCTACTCCTTTTATTTCTTTTCTATTTTTTTTTCTACTTTTTTCTTCTTATCTGGCACTATCTTATTTGTTAAACGCGTATGCGAATTTATAGTCTTCCATACTGTGCGCTACAATCTCGTTAATTTCCTTTATCGAGCCACAAATTACACTGACACATATCTAAGTTTGAATAAATGTTAGGCGTGAGACTTCGGTTTAAGATGAAAACTTAGTTGGCACGCGTAATGCATGGCATTGAAAAATGATTAAGCACTCCGGTATTTTTCCCGATCAATAGTCTTACAATATCTATGAAAATTCATGCTAAAAGTTCGAGGTCCTGTTACATAAATTTTGAGGATTTTTCAACTATAGCGAAGCAGTTGGTAGGATAGAAAAATCTTCTACAATCAATAGAGACTATTTTTTTTTTTTTTGCTTTTGTTTGAAATATTGCCATTAATATGTAAATGTCTAGAGTTACAGATCTTTGAGGAGCAATTAATTATTTACGCGTTAGTATATAATTATATTGTTGAAAACGTATTCCTTCGATAGACAATGTTGAGTTGATACGTATTTGGTAAATATAATCTGCCCTCGATCCATAACTTTTTCATTATAGGCGGAGCTCACATTCATTTTTCAGTTACGTGTAAAGATGCGCCTATTTTCTTATACTCCGATTTACCATTTTAAACACTTAATAAATCCATTAGTAATAATTATAAGAAATTTATTCAGGTAATTGTATTTTGGATTGAATAATTTTTCAATGAATAGTAATTTGCATTGTGGTTTTGCAGATATTAAATTCCCAGACGAGACGAGGCGAAAAAAAAACCTCTTTAAAGCAGTTATTCCATAAGCGTACGTATTATTTCAATATTACAAGCCTAGTTTGTAAATTTAACAATAATTTTATAGATTCACTCGAGACTCAGATTATGCACGAAAGGGAAATAAAGCGTAGAAAGGCCTTAGTCCACTTATAGTAAATGGTTAGGTTGTCCAAAATTGTCTAATAGTTGAGATAAAAGTTGCTGAGTTAGCGTCGGCAACATTTTACTGAGTTACAGATTTTACAATATTCTCGGTAGACGTTAGAGAAATTGGTGTTGTCCAATTATTTGCTTTCCGCTCGGCGGAACATGCCTCGACTATATTTTCTACGTGAAAAGAGTTCCGCGTAACATCTCCACCGCTTCTATTCTAAAAACCTTGTTCGTTTTTATCTTCGTAAAAAAAGAATGGATGAAGCAGAAAAAGAAGAAGAACAATATAAAGAAGTAGAAGAATAAGAAGAAGACGATGAAGATGATGAACAAGAGAGAGAGAGAGAGAGAGAGAGAGAGAGAGAGAGAAAAGAAAAAAAAGAACAAAATAAAAGAAAATGAAATGTAAAATATGTCATTTCGTTTGTTGGAATTATTGTTTGGCTCATTTAACAGAAAGTCTTTTAGCGTAATGCTATTTTACGTATTTCTTCATCCTTCGCTTGATCCAATGGACATGCGTTCAATAGCTT